AATACTCTTTAAAGGTCCAATAATCACTGTATGAAGTGTTTTCTCGATATTCAGGACGAAAGTATGATATTTTTACGATTATTTTTTGGAGTCTGTGACGTCATACAATGGAAATTCAGCGTTTGATCATTTTATCGGCAAGATAAAGACATTGTAAATATTAATCTAAAGACTCACCGATAAACGAAGCACTGTTACTTCTGTTTCGGTCATATTCGATAACTTTCTCTGCAGCCTTGGCCACTCGCACTGAGAAAATATTAAATATCTAACGAGTTTTTTGTCAAAACCAAAAACCAAATGCAAAAATCTAACAACCATTTACTAAAGACATCACCGTTTTGTGGTCTTTGAATTCTATACAAAAGCCATTTGAGTGCACATTCCATTCCATTTTCTCGATTCGTTGTCATAGTAACCTCAATTAATGGTATTTTAATCTTTGCACGTGTTTTGTTTTGTAAGACACCAAAACCCACAGCATCTCAAGGTTTTAAGGAAGATTTATTTTGCATTTAAAATTGATTGAGTAAGTTACTATGAAAATAGAATTTCTTGCTAAAAATGTTTATTGAAGAAAATACTTTAATATCTCTAGAAGATTCCATGGCTTGAGTCGTGTTTAATATTAATTTAACTAATTGAAAAATATAAAAATGGAATATCACCCTTTTTATAATAACTGTATGAGTAATAAAGTGCAGATATATCGCACGCTTCCTTTGTTCTAACGATGGGTTAAAAGCTTTCAATATTCCTTATAGACCCCTCGCGGCCCGTCGGAATGCAGCTCGATTTGGATGCCAAAACAATAGGTTCCCTATTCTCAGGATATGAAATTCTTTTGTCGTCCAAATTGAACTCCCTGGACGTCACATGCAAGGGGTCTGTTTCTAAGTTGGGAGATAGACTAGTGATGCCTTAGTGGCGCAGGGAATTTTGGGACTGAATGAGTAGCGTGAGATAATATGGCGGAGCTGTTTGATCTTGCCCCCATAACTACAATATTTATACATGCTAAGGCCCTATAAATCAATCTGGGATAAACTGTAATCCTCATCAAATTAATGCTGTGGGTGTCTAATGTCATCATGTGATGTGTCAAGGGCTTGTCACGTAACTAATAATTCGGTCCCAGGAGTGGCTATTATAGACTTTAAGGTGCCGACACACGGTGCCACATTGCACGCAACATTGCACGCAACATTGCAAGCGACAAATTTGAATCGGGGTGACACCAATTTCAACAAAATCACGCAACATCACTTGTGTTAGCCTGCTACGTTAAGATATTTGGTCAGCAGTAATAAATTTGGTGCAAGCTGATTGGCTGAAAATTTCAAAATGTTGCACACAATGTTTAAGCCCTGTTCACACGATGAAATTTGTTGCGCGCAATGTTGCAAGAGTAGAGCGCGATTCAACTTCAGATTTGATACATGCACCTTTGTGTGAAACAAGTTTTAGGGTTAGACACATGCTGCATCAATCTTGTTGCGTGCAATATGTTGCACCGTGTGTCGGAACCTTAATTCGTCTTGGTGCAATGTTACTCATTTCAGGCCTCATGTCATTCCCAAGAGTATCATTTTTAGTGTAACGGTTCGGGAAGAGAAGAAATATGGATATGGATATAACTCAAAAACAGAATCTTATTCTCTAGGGAATGACACATGGTTTATAAGTGTCTATTGGACGGACAATCATTAAAACAATCTACAACCATTATTGACATAATAGGTCAAGTGAATTCGGTCCAAGTCATGGCTATCGTATTATAATCAAGTTGATGACACGTCGTGAACTATGACGTCATTTAGAAGCAAGTCCTGGCATGGCTCGCTTGACGAGTGCTTTGAAAGCCATCATAGTGTAGTGAGCATCGTTGCCAGCATTGTGGAGAATACTCTCGTCATAACTGATTCTCATCTCATCCATCATTCTCTTCAGGCCCCAGCATCTGATCCTACCTTGAAGTATATTAAGGGCCAACTTCTGGGTATCGAACATGGGTTTTTCTTCAATGTCGATGCCATTGTCGGTCAAATACTGCTTATCGTTGTATCCAGAGTGAGTCAACAAAGCATCTGAGCCTGCAACTGCCTTCTTAAGCTCTTCAGCGGCTTCTTCCAAGGGCATGCGTACTGTCGTGCCAAATTTGAATTTCTCTTTGTTGTCAAAACCTTCGCGGTTGTGGAGCTCCTCGTTGACGACGGCGTGAAAATATTCCGGGTTTTCGCCTTCTTTGAGTGTGAATTTTAAGTATCCAATCTCTAGGATGGTTTTGCGATCTTGGTCGTGAACTTCAAGGTCCAAGCAGAGAAACTTTGTGTCTTTTTTCTCAGTCAAGACTTGGCACAATTTTCTCTTGTGTTCAGCGGCATCTTCACGCGCCCTGAAAGAATAAAACTGCCGCTTATTAGTGTGATGTCATTAGGATTAAAACTGAATCCACTTGAAAATGGTCTGAAATGGGAAAGCATTGCGCCATGCAAAAGTAAAAGAGTAGAGGTTTTTCATCAACACTTCACGGCAGCCATGTTAGATAGCAGGAACAATAGAATCGTTTTACATGAGAAAGAATTCAATTCCCGAGAGCAAAGGGATTT